CCCCACAACCCCAATAAACTTGTCCCGAACAATAAGGCTAGCCCGGTGTAACCACATTTCCTTATTATACCTAACTTTGTGATTCTAAGATGGGCCATTTTAAGACTAATATGATGCATGAAAATGAACCAAATTTAGTGGCGGCCTCTTCCGTGTCTTAATACTCAAACGTATGATCTTGCAATTTTTAGGCGTATTGTGTGTATGTCAAGTCAAAGGTAGACAAATTGTGATAGTTTTAATGAGACTTAAGCTATTCAAGCCTCTTTCGTTTTCTCAGCGATTCCTCTAGTTCCCCTCATTTTCGGCTGCTGCCTAATTTTATCCTACAGTCAAAACGAGCTCTTCACAATTTCACAAATTAATTAGTTCTCTTCAGGTGTTTTTTCTATTTCTATTGATTCCCTACTTTCAAGTAAAGCATACTTCGAAACCCAATTTCCTGTTATATTTACGAAATGGAGAATATGTTCCTATCATTCGTAAAGTTTAAAAATCATCTTAAAGCGGTATGCTAACCGCATTTTGCACCAATCCACACTGACAATTACTCCACACTTAAGTGTGTATGACGCAATATGAGATAAAAAGTGAGAGATGTCAGATTCGCCGGTCACCCTGAATTCGTGGCGCATACAGAACAAAGGGAAGCCCTAGCTGTCACGACAGTCCTGGTTGAGAGATGGTTCTGACAGGATGCTCATTTGGGGAATGCTTTGGATGGCGTTGTCATGTCAGACTGAAGTGGTGAGATCTTGATCTAGCGTCATTATCAGTTATCCGAGAGTGGATTATAGGGGAATTTCCTCCTATTCTATCGGCAGTTTTGACGTCTCCAGGCCTCATCAATAGCGGCAGCATGAACAGACCGAGGCTCGTATCTACCGCGGGGAAACACCTCGCGGGGACTACTTAAATCATTCAAAGTGGGTCACGATTTGGGATCCGATTCGGTTGAGCAACCACACCGTTGACCACCGTAGCTCAGACGCCGGTAGACGTGTGATGCGATTGACATTTCGTCTATTTGTAGGCTTGTTGGGACCCAAATAAGGACCTACAAAAGAACAAACTCTACAACCAGTTGGCTAAATCCTGGGGAAAACGGATGTCCAACATAGAGTAATAAAAGTCTGTGTATATGTGTGTGTGTGTGACCGGCGAAGACCGGCCATGGTACCAAATGGCAGAACCGTGTGCTTCAGACTTGGGCAGGCTCGGACCGGAGATGACAGATGAGTCCTGTCCGCTAAGTGGTGTGTTTGGAATCGCTCGTCAAGTCTCGACCACTTTATACTGGTCGGCCTTGAGCCGTTCATCACCCAGTGCCCACTCTGCTGGATGTGTGTGCACATGTACCGAGTAAAGCCAGGCTCGCATGACGATGCGAAAATGCACATACCATTTGTGCTTTGGATGAGAGTGAGAGAGGACGGCACGACACGGCGATGACGTTCAGACATAAATTGTGGCCCGACTGGCGAGGCGATCTTTCTAAAGGCACAGCAGCAAGGCCAGCAACAATGGGCGGATTAGGATGAAAACGAAAACGAAAACGAAAACGAAAACGAAAACGAAAACGAAAACGAAAACGAAAACGAAAACGAAA